ACTCTTGTGGTCCTTGTATATGGTACACCGAACCCCGTACAGATAGTGACGCCAAATCTTGAGGGCAAACACTACTGCCCCAGCTCCAGATCGTGGGTGGGATATCTCGTCTCATGAGGCTTCAATTGCCTCGATGCATATGCTATTACATGCCCTCTCTGCATCAGTACCGTACCCATGCCCGTAATAGATGCATCACAATAAACCACAAAATCCTCCATTCCCTCCGGAAGGGCCAACACGGGAGCCTCACACAATCTCTGGAGAAGGGTCTCAAATGAGGTCTACTGCTCGGGACCCCAAGTAAACGCAACGCCCTTCCGGGTCAAACTGGTGAGAGGGACAACAATCTTGGAGAAATCTCTGATAAAACTCCGATAGTATCCGGCCAGTCCCAGAAAACTCCTGATCTCGGTGGGGGATCTCGGTGCTTCCCATCTCATAACTGCCTCGATCTTAGCCGGATCAACCAAAATACCATTCTGGTTAATGAGGTGTCCTAGGAACTAGACCTCTCGTAACCAGAAATCACACTTGGAGAATTTGGCATTAAGCCTCTCCGATCTCAATACTCCAAGGACCTCTCTCAAATGCTCCTTATGCTGCTCTCTAGACCTCGAATACACCAAAATATCGTCGATGAACACAATCACCGAACGATCCAACATGGGTCTACACACCCGGTTCATGAGGTCCATGAACGCTGCCGGTGCGTTGGTGAGCCCGAAAGGCATCACCACAAACTCATAGTGCCCATATCGTGTCCTGAAGGCCGTCTTCTGAACATCCTCCTCGCGGACTCTCATCTGATGATACCCGGACCTCAGGTTGATCTTGGAAAACCAAGACACCCCCTGTAACTGATCGAACAAATCATCGATCCTCGGAAGTGGGTAACGGTTGTTGACCGTCAACTTGTTCAACTCCCGATAGTCGATGCACATCCGGTGTGAACCATCCTTTTTCTTGACAAAAAGGATCAGGGCTCCCCACGGTGAGCTGCTCGGCCTGATAAACACCTTCCCCAGCAGCTCCTGTAGCTGCGAGGATAACTCCTGCATCTCCGGAGGCGCAAGGCGATAAGGTGCCTTGGCAATAGGCGCCGCTCCTGGCACCAAATCGATCCGAAACTCTACCTGCCTCTCGGGAGGTACTCCCGACAACTCCTCGGGAAAAACATCTGGAAACTTGCACATTATCGGGACCTCGGAGATAGAACTCGATCTCTCTGCAGTAACCCGCGTATCCATTACATATGCCAAAAATCCCATACATCCCTGCTGTAGACTCTGTCTCGCTCTGGCGGCCGAACAAAATGCCGACCCTAATCGGGTACCCTCGCCATATACTGAAAGCACTCCCCCACTAGGGTCTCAGATGGTCACCAGATGACGCTCACAGTCGATCTCAGCTCCAAATCGACTCAACCAGTCCATGCCCACGATGACACAGACATCCCCCATCGCGATCGGTACCAGATCTATTAGAAACTTAACTCCGAAGATCTCAAGCTCATATCCACAAATCACATCCGACGCAAACACCACATGCTCATCGGCTATGGAAACTCTCAGAGGTCGACTCAACGCCTCTCGTCGTATACTGATGTGACGACTAAATGCTAAAGATACAAAGGACCGACTTGCACCCGAGTCAAATAACACCAAAGCAGGCACAGAACTCACAAGAAAAGTACCTATATATAATCACAATATAAGCACATAATATCTCAAAAGAATATAATAAGAACACGTACCAACCACTACATCAGGTGCTGCGCGGACCTCCTCCGCTGTCAGCTGAAAGGCTCTCCCACGAACCCTCGGTGTCTCGACCTTCGCTGGCCGAATCTCAGTAGCACGCACAGAAGTAAGTGCAGATCCCTGGGTTGAACCCTGCACGAGCTGAGGGCACTCGGCCTTCCGGTGGCCGGTCTGGTTGCAATGAAAGCAAACCGAAAATCCCTTGGGTCAATCCTTCGCCACGTGCCCCTCCTTGCCGCATTTGTAGCAAATCCCCGAACGACAAGAACCCTCGTGACTCTTACCGCACTTGCCACAAGTGCGGCCCTTCTGGCCCCCAACTCTGGAATCAACGGGCTTGGCCCGCTTCGTCGCCGGCTGCGACTGAACTGGCCTCCGGTCCCTCCCCCGGGACTCCTCCTCCTCCTCCCTGGTCTGCAACTCGAGCTCAATCTCCATCCTCCTGGCATTGGCCTAAAGCTCGTCCAATGTCCTGTATGATGAGTTCGCCACGAACTCTTATATGTCCCTCCTCGGTATGTTCAGATATCGGCTCACACGTGCCTGCTCAGTGGACACGTGTTCAGGGCAGAACATCGCCCTCTCATGGAACATCCTCGAAATCCCAGTCACTGATTCTGTCTTCTGCTTGAGATACAGAAACTCCTGTGCCAAACGTTCCCTCTCCACCGGGGGAACATACTCGTCTCGAAACATCTGAACAAACCTCTCCCATGATATAGCTGCATGATCTGTGGGGGTAATACCGACTGTCACAAATTTCTACCAGTCCTTCGCTCCCAAGCAAAGCTGGTTCAGCGCGAACCGAACTCTCAAGTGGTCGGGGCATGAACACGTGTAAAAACACCCCTCAACATCGGAGATCCACCTCATCGCAACAATCGGGTCCTGAGTCCCATCAAACTCTGGTGGCTTCGTGTTACTGAACTCTCGGAATAGCAACGCGTCACCTCCCTAAGGCCTAGCAGCGGCAACGGCTGCAGTGGCCGCGACAGCAGCAGCCTCAGTGATAGCAGCGTATCACTCATCGAACGTCTGAATCAAGGTGGTCTTGATAGACTCAAACATCTCTGGAATCTCTGCTCGGATAGCTGCAGCCACCTCCTCGTGGATCATCCTCCGTATCTCCTCATCACTACTCCCACTGCCTCCAGGGTTGTGGCGTGTCCCCACCATGATGTCTCTGAAACACAACACAAACTCATCAGAGACTCGCTCGAGCATACTCACACTCGACCACCTGCCCCTACTTGACAAAAAGGATCGGGGCTCCCCACGGTGAGCTGCTCGGCCTGATAAACCCCTTCCCCAGCAGCTCCTGTAGCTGCAAGGATAACTCCTGCATCTCCGGAGGCGCAAGGCGATAAGGTGCCTTGGCAATAGGCGCCGCTCCTGGCACCAAATCGATCCGAAACTCTACCTGCCTCTCGGGAGGTACTCCCGGCAACTCCTCGGGAAAAACATCTGGAAACTCGCACACTATCGGGACCTCGGAGATAGAACTCGATCTCTCTGCAGTAACCTGCGTATCCATCACATACGCCAAAAATCGCATACATCCCTGGATTCCCCTTAAGGCCTCACATGACTCGTCGAGTTAACCTCCAACTCGACGGGTAATCACTGATCACGAATCGCGGAACAAACCCGACCCGACTCGTGGAGTCATCTCATGGACTCGGCGAGTCGTGTCTATTGCATCCCTCATATGGCCTTCTGAAGTCAGATCCGGAACTCTAACTCATATATCTGACCCTCTAGTATCCAAAAGTTACGTAAAGGTCTGAACTTGGGGTTCATGCATGGTGTATGTTGCTCTATATACCATTTTGGCCCTCTTAAAGCTTCATAGCTTCAAAATCCCAAGGTTATCCAGACATGGCTAGCTACTTTCTGGTTCTCTGGACCTCACAAGGTCCAGATCTAAAGAATAACTCGAGAAAGGGTTTGGATGCACCCAAAACCCCATTAAAATGGTGATACAAGCCCTAACTTAGCAACCAAAGGAAAATCTATCCAAACACAAGGAAGGTAAGAGCTTATACCCGATCTGAAGCTTGAAGTGAAGATGAAACTGATCCCCCAACTCTCCTCTGAGATTCTTGCAACACCCTTGATCCTCTTCTCAAAGAAATGACCTCAAATTAGCCTCTTTCCTCTCTAGCTCACAAATGACTCTAGGGTTTCTCTCAAGGGACGAAGACACTGATGGGAAGGGCCAAGGAGGCCATAAGTGCCTTTAAATAGGCCCAAGCCCGGGAAAATTAGGGTTTCTGCCTCCAGCGCTGACTCGTCGAGTCTATTTATTTTCCACGTCACCAAGTCGCGATCCTACTCGACGAGTTGAGGCGCCAACTCGTCGAGCCACTCCTCGTATCTCAAAATCAATACTCAATTTATCATACCTTGAAATCCGGATGTTACAAACGTTCAAAGCAATCTCCATTAAAACCGTATTCTTAAAGAATGAGAATGATAAGAAACAATGGCCAATAAAAATTCATTCTTTAAGAATGAGAAAGATAAAAATAGAAACAATCTCCAATAAAAACCTATTCTTCAAGAACTAAAATGATAAGAAACGATCACCAATAAAAATTCATTCTTCAAGAATGAAAACATAAACATAGATTGAATTATGTAACGTTTAAAAATGTTAACTAGTATTTGTATTTTTATATTTTGAGTTTTCATAATTAATATGACTTACTTGTCTAAAATGTAGTTCTATAGTAAATGCTAGTCTATGATATTAACATGCACTCTAAGATCACATCCTTTAATTTTTTTCGGTCAAAATTTGGTTATACATTTACACAATATTTATGATTCACATTTGATCCTAACCTTTTATATATATATATATATATATATATATATATATATATATATATATATATATATATAAAAGAAATTTGAATAATTTAAAATAGAAATTTTAGATTTTTATAATTTTGAGCATCATAAAAGAAGCACACATTAGAACCAACGGAAATGAATGGAAGTGGATTCATGTTTCATTTATCCATTGTTTTGCATTTATGAAATTTCGGGTAGCTTGCAACTCCTCTCTTTCACAGTAATTTCGGTCAAATTGATTCAAAGATTTTTCATACCCATCTCTCTTTCTCTATCGTGTTTATGCATTATATTCACTGTTAATATAAAAATTAGGGATTAATTTGAATCCATATGCATGCATGCATCTGGAATTTCGTAAGAGATTGTTAAAGAAAAATGCCGCCACACAATGTCTCGCAAGATACCATCGTTTGTTATGCTCCATTGATGATCACGTCCCACGGGATTTGGCAAGGAGATAATCCTCTCGATTATTCGCTTCCTCTTTTTGTTTTACAACTATCGCTCGTTGTTGTTACCACTCGTATTCTCGTTTTCCTCTTAAAACCCTTTCGCCAGCCTCGTGTCATCTCTGAGATCCTTGTAAGTGTTTCTCTATTTGTTTTATTCCTCGAAATCCCGATCTTTAAGAAGAAATGATAATCTAAATTCAAAATATCAAGAATGGATAGAGAAATTGTGAACCAATTCCATTAAATACTTATCAGAATTTGAAGCAATCTCAAAATAGATATACATTTTATGCTCTTAAAAGAATAATATTTTTTATGTAAACGAATTTTCATGTGTAATCACACAATTATCATACATTTTGTCACTTCTTTTTCTAGTAATACCGTTTTCTTCATCGTATACCGTTTGAATACACCCATTCAGAGAGATGCTTGACTTGATACTACTTAAAGCAAATGTTTATTTTCTTCTAAATGTATATGGCAAAATGAAGTAACAAGAGAATAAAATACTTGACGATGTACTAATTTTGTGGATGGATTTGGTTATGTTTATGATGATTTTGCTCATGGAACGTGCAGGGTGGAGTGATATTAGGTCCATCAGTGATGGGACGTTTTTCAATCTTTGCCAATGCAATATTTCCATTAAGAAGCGTTATGATTCTTGAAACAATGGCAAACATCGGCCTTCTTTATTTCCTCTTTCTAGTCGGAGTAGAAATGGATATTGCAGTAATCCGACGCACTGGCCGGAAAGCCATCTTAATTGCAATCGCCGGCATGATTCTCCCATTCCTTATTGGAATCTCATTCTCCTTCCTCTTACATCGAGGAACACAATTCGTCAAACAAGGCACTTTCATCTTGTTCCTGGGAGTAGCCCTCTCTGTCACAGCATTTCCGGTGCTTGCAAGAATTTTGGCGGAGCTCAAGTTAATTAACACAGAACTTGGTCGGATCGCCATGTCATCAGCCCTCATAAACGATATGTGTGCATGGATTCTACTAGCAGTGGCTATCGCTTTAGCCGAAAATGAGCGTGTAAATTTAACTACCGTTTGGGTGATTTTATCGAGTGCAGGGTTTATCTTGGTTTGTATTTTTGTGGTTCGTCCATTGATTTTTTGGGTGATACAAAAGACCCCAGAAGGTGAAAGTGTTAGTGAGTTCTACATTTGTTTAATCTTGACCGGAGTTATGATCTCAGGCTTCATAACAGATGCAATTGGTACCCACTCGGTGTTCGGAGCCTTCATTTTTGGGTTGGTGATACCGAATGGACCTTTAGGGGTTACACTCATTGAAAGATTGGAGGATTTCGTATCAGGGCTTTTGTTGCCTCTTTTTTTCGCCCTCAGTGGGCTTAAAACTTCTATTGGTGCGATTAATGGCGCTGACACATGGGGTATTTTGGCGCTTGTCATAATACTTGCCTGTGCCGGAAAAGTCGCCGGAACTTTGCTCGTTGCTCTTCTTTATCAGATGCCATTTTACGATGGAGTTACACTCGGATTGCTCATGAATACCAAAGGCCTTGTTGAGATGATTGTCCTTAATGTTGGCAAAGATCAAAAGGCAATTTCCATCTCTTTCTTATCGTCCTTTTTTTAATCTCAAGTTTCAATTTACTTTTTCTTGTTGTTTACTAAATCATGAAGCCATGAATATGTAGGTTCTGGATGACAAATCTTTTGCAATTATGGTGGTCGTCGCACTGGTGATGACGGCGGTAATCACTCCGGTGGTGACGATAATCTACAAACCCACAAGAAGATTTGCGCCCTATAAACGTAGAACCATACTAAAAACCAAACCGGATAGTGATTTTCGAACACTAGTTTGCATCCACACACCAAGAAATGTTCCCACCATCATCAATCTTCTTGAAGCTTCCAACCCAAACCAAAAATCTCCACTCTCTGTCCACGTCCTCCACCTTGTAGAACTCACGGGTCGTGCCTCCGCCATGCTCATAGTCCACAACAGTCGGAAGTCTGGCAGACCAGCAGCCAATAGAACACAAGCCCAGTCTGATCACATCATCAATGCCTTCGAGAACTTCGAGCAACACGCTGGATACGTATCTGTTCAACCATTAACGGCAATCTCACCATATTCCACTATGCACGAAGACATATGTAGTGTTGCAGAGGACAAGCATGTAGCATTTATTATCCTACCTTTTCATAAGCAACAAACGGTGGATGGCGGAATGGAAGTAACTAATCCTGCTTACCGTATAATTAATCAAAATGTTTTAGCAAACTCGCCGTGCTCAGTCGGCATTTTAGTAGATCGAGGGTTCGGCGGCGCAACTAGGATAGCTGGAAATCAGATTTCACATAGCCTTGCGGCGGTATTCATTGGTGGACCAGACGACCGAGAAGCTTTAGCATTTGCTTGGCGTATGTCGAGCCATCCAGGGAGCACTCTCACCGTGATGCGTTTTGTCGCCGGAACTGACATAGAACAACCGAGTACTTCCGGCCGGGTGGAAAACGACCCAAGGATTCTGACGGTGGTAACAGATAGTGATAGAGAAAAACAAGAAGACGATGAGTTTATACACCAGTTTAGGACATTGATTGAAAATGAAGAATCAATTGTTTATACTGAAACGGTAGCGAACAACGGTGAGGAAACAGTGGGGGCGATACGATCAGTTGGTGACGTTCATGATTTGTTTATTGTCGGGAGAGGTCAAGGGACGTCTTCCCCGTTGACCGCCGGACTAACCGATTGGAGTGAATGTCCAGAGTTAGGAGCAATAGGTGACTTATTAGCATCGTCAGATTTTGCAGCAACGGCGTCAGTATTAGTGATTCAACAGTATGTGAGTACCGGTCTTGAGGATTTCAACCTATCGCCGGATAGTCCAGGACACCACCATGAAGCCTTTATGAACTGTACACCAAACACGAACCAACGGCCGTCGCCATCCCCGAGGGCGACGTATATGCAGAATTCACAATAGCTTCAACTTTTTTCTGTTGTAAATGAAGTAGAGTACTAATTTATAGGATTTGCGACTGTAAAAATCATTAACATTACATAATAGTAGGAAATATATTTATTTTTTAATCACATGTTATATGGTTCTTTACATCATATCGATCATAATCATATCAACTATCTTCCAAATTAAATAAAGCACACCATAGACGTAACAAAATAAATATTCATATTTTATGTGATCATTATTTCTTTAATATTTGATATTTATGTTATTTTGATTGTTTAGAAGAATGCTTTTTGATTACATTATTTTCTATAAATTATATATTATTTTTGTATATTTATTATGACAAATTGCATAAAAAACACAAAGTTTACACAAATTTCGATTTTGACATTTTGTTTTTTATAATAAAGTCTTTAAGTAACAAAGAGCTTATAGCCCAACGATATCATCTATTGAAGAAAAAATGTTCCTCAGCCATATGTTAAGGGTTCAAGTCTCATTGGAGACATAATGAATAGTTTAGAAGTAAAATAGGGAGTATGTGTGTGTTTGTCATTCTAAAAAAAGTCATTAAGTTTACAATTTTATAGTAAATTTAACCAATTGACCAGTTTGTTTCATGTGTTTCATGTTTCTCACTTGTTTGACTAAACAAAAACTGATGTGGCTTCTACATATGATCTTAGTTGGCAAACATTTGGGTTAAATACTTAAATTTAACCCTTACGTAGTCTTCTGTTGTATTAAGTACTAATACCAAATTAGTTTTAAAGAGAAGTACTTATTAAGACTTAAACTCTATACTACACAATGTAAGAGAGAAGAAGGGAGAAGCATAAATGCTCTCAACTTTTGATGAGTGAAAGATTAAACAAAATAACTAGCAATTCTTCTCTTTATATACTAGCACATATGTACTTTAAGACCATACTTCCATTAAGTTAAAGCATCGCTCTTGAAAGAAGCATAGAAGTGTAAGGCTATGCTTCACAAGAAACCCCTTACTCTCTCCACTAGCTCACGACATGAAGAAGGAAAGAGAAATATATTTTTGTCTTTTACTCCATCTTATTTTATAACATGTGTTTTTTATTTGTAACATTATATAAATGAACTATAACTAGTCCAAAATAATGTACACATCATATAAATCATACCTTATGAGTTATTAGTTGTTTTCTCTCTTGGAAAATATTACTTTCATAAAATAATAATTTTCCAATTAAATACAAGAGTTGATAGTATTTATTAATAATCAAATTATAATAAATAATCAATAAGTGTCTGCTTGTTATAAGGTGTGACCCTATAAGATCATATGTTATTAGCAAATATCATTCTATAATGATTTTTAAATATATAGGTCTTTCAATAGTGTTCTATAATTTTTACTCATTTAGGTGCACAGAGTAGTTAGTTTTTTTGTTTTGTTTTTGGGTTGGAGAAACCGAGGTACCTCCAAGATGGTTGCCCCAGCCATATGTGGTACCACTAAATGAATTAATTCAACGGGTTGCTCCACCCGCTTTCATCCCTCTCTCTCTCTCTCTCTCTCTCTCTCTCTCTCTCTCTCTCTCTCTCTCTCTCGTACCATGGGCTTAAGAACTTGTATCCTATGTTTTTTTTGTATGTTTTTAATCGAGTGAGTTGGAAAATATGTTATTTTCATATGTTGTGGGTTAGAAAAGATTAAAGAAATAGAAGAGAAAAAAAATGATGTGACAGTGGATTGAGTAAGTTAGGAGACTTCTACTCCCTTCACCCTTACTACGCTTTTATACGAAGCAATCTAGTATGTTTGTGATTTGACATATGGTATTTGCTTTAGTAGAAAACATAATATCATAGTATAAAACAAACTTAAATAACATACATATCTCTCAAATGATTGTATTAAGACAAAAAAATGTATAGTAAATGAATTCTAGCGATGAGTACTAATGTACTATATCAATAGGAGAGGTATCAATATAACCAATAAGAGGAATGATTAAACTTTTTGAGGTAATTATTTGGATTTTATATATAAAATTTTGACTCTTCATTAGTTGGAATTTTAAATTAACTACCAAGATAATGTAATGGTGATTATTTAGTATAAAATACTTTAAAATGGAGTTGGCCCAATATGTTTCAACTTTGGAATGAATTGCAGTTCATAAAAAAAGTTAGAGTTTTAAATTCACCGAAAATTCATCCAACATAAATACCTTTTAAGCCCTAGTTTGTATGTTGCTTGATTTTATAAGAGGTCTCATTCAAACCATAATGTTTTGTGCCCTAACTTTTTACCTCTAATTAGTTTAGTTTTTTTTGTTACTTTTTTTTATAGACGTGGGTTTATATTTTTATTTTTTGGGTTCAAATTTGTTTGATAATCCATACAAAGTGTAAAACTGGATTGATTTTGTATGATGATTGGTATAGAGTATAAAACTGGTCATGTTTAAATAGAAAGTTTAACTAATGATTTACCCAGAGTCAAACAGTTTATCCCATCCAAAAATAAACAATATTATACATACAACACTATATTCATCGGTAGCCATTGTATCAATGACTAATGGAAAAAACAACCCCTTATCTTCACATAAAACATCCTTAAGAAACTATATCACAAGTTAACATGCAAAAGAAAGAAGGCTTTTGTAGAATTAACACAATAAAAGAATAACAAAATGAAGCTACTTAGGCATAGAAATTCGACTAATCTCCACCTAAAACAACCGAAATCAACAAACGCCAAAACCCTAGGACTAAAACATTTACACAAGAAAACACATCAACATTCAAACGTGATGCAAAACACCCTTCAAAACATTCAAACGTGATGCAAAACACCCTTCAAAACATCCAACCCTTCAACCGATATTGTCCTCCGATTCCGCGATCTCGGTATTTCAATCTTCGGTGGAGGTTCTGATGAGAAACAGATAATGACAACCGTCAGGTTGTCGCAACTGTTTCTCTTCAGAGCCTCACTAACAAGTTCTCTAGAACATTTCCCAGGATCATTATGAACCATAAGTTCTTTCCTTACAATTGTCACCGCATATTGGCTACTCATCACATCCCATAATCCATCGCACCCAATTATCACAAACTCATCTTCTTCAGTTAGGGTTACCTCTTTCAACTCCGGTTCAGAACTTAATGGACAATCTGAACCTTTTGGTCCTTTCATGTGCCAATCTCCAAGTGCACGTGCCACTGATAGTTGACCATTAAGGTACCCATCGTATATCACACCTCCAAGTTTCTCTATCCTCATTTTCTCAGATGTACAGCTTGGTTTATGGTCAACTGAAAGCTCAATTGCTCTTCCTCGTTTTCCAAGAACAGCTCGACAATCACCAGCATTCGCAATTATCATATTTCTGTCAATATCGCATCATATATAAATGGGTACAACAGTATTATTTTATGTGAATGAATGTGAATATTTGGATCTTGAAAGTTTTTCTTACCTTCCTAATATAAGAACAGTCAACGCAGTGGTTCCAGATGAGTTATCCAGAGAACTATGATCTGCTAATTCGTGATCGATTTTTGCAAAAGCATTCTTGACAGCTTTCTGTACCCCATTTGGGAAATTAGAGTCCTTGATTATGAACTCAAGAATGTTTCGTTTTGTGAATGATGCAGCATCAACGCCGCCATGTCCATCAAACACCTGAAATAGATTGATCAAAAGCGTTCTTGAACATTAATGTTCTCCAAGAATCAAGAAGCTATATAGATCAAGAAGTTAAAGAAGGTTTCATTAATTATTACCCCATAAAATGCTCCAGTTAAAGTGTGATCCGGTTTTGCATGTAAATGTTGTTGAAGATCATCAACACAGATAAACTCATCCTCCATATATGGTTTTGGACCAATCTCAGAACAGCTTCCTGAGCGAAACACAGGTAAAAACATACAACTTACATTCTGTGGTGACAGCGGCCCTTTTGGTGATTTCTATGAAAAGAGGAAACAAAAAATAATCAGAAAGTCTGAAAGATTGATCAAGATAGAAAAAAGGTGATGATTGATGAACGATGAACGTTTATTTACTCACCAGATTAGAGGTGTCAACCAATAAAGCCTCGCTGAGACTATGTCGAACAGGTGGACCATTTCTTGGAGGCTTAGCAAACTTTGTTTCGCTCAAATGATCAAAATCCTCGGGATCTTCATCTTCTATCATAGCAGGCATACATTCTCTTGAATGTCGATTATCCAATGAGGTACAATGAGGCCACACATCAGTCCCAGGACCCATTTCTCCCTTTCACTCAATCCATGATCGATCGTATGCATACAATAAATCTTCTTCTCTTATTCAATCTGGACAGTTGTTCATCAACAACCCATTTCGGTCTCTAAAGCATATCAATTTTCTTTCTTTTTTAACCTCGAAGTAACTAACCCTTGATCATAAAGATAACACTAGCCCAAGAATCGAATTCATTAGATAATCCTAGACCGTAGCCTTCCATTTCCTGGAATTCGTAAAGCGTCAAGCACAGCCACATGCCAAAGATCATTAAATTCTTGACCAATATCAATCTTTCTATTTGAAGATCAAAGCAAAACAGATTTGTCAATCGAAATTATGAAAAACCCGACAACGGGAAGATGCAATGTTACGGAATTCAAGAAGAAAATGGGGAAATAAAGTGGAGAGAGGTGAATCAATTACGGAAACAAAGTAGTAGAAAACGAAGGATCTTTAAGAGCGCTTTTGCGTTTATGTGCGTAAAGTACCAAGATTGCATCCCTTTTCATTCATGGAAGGTCGGATTTATAGGAAAGGGCAAGGGAAATCTGACGCGTGGATTGAAAGTAATTATGTAACCACTAACCAACCAACACGGAGAACTTTTTTTGCCCTCAAAATAGGCCCCATTGCCAAAATTGGGGAAATGTATTCGAGGCAGACGAGAGCTCCAGTCTTTCGTAAATTGGCAACGTTTAAAGGCAAGGGGAAAACGTAAATGAGGTGTTGATCTTGTTTTTAGTCTAGCAGT